CCCCTCCCTCAGCTCATCCTAGCTACTGACAAAGGCTGGCCCTTTCCACCCAAGTAGCAGCTGGTCTTCCTCACCAAGTCTGTGGGTTTCTACTAAACCAGGGAAAGGCAGAGGCCACATTTCCAGAAATCAACAGGCTTCCACTTTCCCAAGAATCTATTTGCCTTTGCACAGCTCACCTTTATCTGGTTCTCATAAAAAAATATTTACGGATCAGCTTTAGGCCTGTGAGTAACGATCGTCACACAAGGGACACATATATCCCTCCTAAGAACTTCAGCAGGAGACCAAGTGTCAGTAAATGTGTCCAAGGTTTAGCCTCTAGGTATCCCCTTTCAGCTGTGTGTCAGGAAGGTTTCAGAGATGGAAGCATCCTGCCCAACACCCCGAGATAGAGAAACTGAGGTCCAAGAAGATTGAGTTAAAGGCTAATGTGAAATGAAAACTCAGAATTGCCTCTCCAGTCCCAAAATGGTGGAAAACAAAGTTTTTCCCAGCAACTTAAAACATCCGGAGGCATGACAACCAGCATTTTACCAGCTCATCAAAACCCCATTATTTCATTTCCCTGGTTGCATGTGCCATGAAAATATACTATAAATCCAAATGTCCAAATCTTTAAGAGTTGTTCAAACCCTGCTCCCACCCCAACACCAGTGGTACAATCATCACGCTCATAAAAAGTGCCCAGGATTCAATAATATTTAATTGATTTAAATTTTACTGATGTGGACCAAACAAAATGATTCAGGATGATTCAAAGCTTGCAATGTTTCCCTTTCTTAATACACCTTCCACAGAGGGCACATTATGCATGAAACTAAAGTAAAAATGTTCAAAATACAGAAACTTTAAGCACCGTCCGATCTTACTTTTGCATATAATCGATGCGCTACCTACCTATTATGAGCTATTTAAGTTTCAAGTTCCCTGGTCACTACCTGGGTCTGAGGATAAAGACTTAAAACTCTAATATTCGTCAAAGGTTGGAAAAGTTGGTAAGCAACAAGCCTGTGAGCTTTGCTATATATACTGTTTGTACGTTAAATAATATCAAAGTTAAAACATTTTTCAAATGAGAAAGAGACAAGGCACAAAATCCAAGCAAGACCACAGGGTACAGAGTGGAAAGAGGTCCCCAGAGGTAACTGCAGTCCACAGTGCCTCAGTTTCCCTCTAGAGCTTTCTATCCATAGAGGACAGGTGTGCACTCATCTTTTTTTGCCCTAGAGAACATCTTCAAGAAACAGTCCACACTGTCCTTCCGACTGGCCTTTCCCCAATTAGCTTTACTCTAGTACCCGACAAATACTTAGCGAAACATCTCGGCGTGGTTCAACTGCCGCCTACCTTACAGTTGCCCAGATCGGATCGTTTGCTGTTTGAGGTGACGCCCAGGCGTCCTTCCTAACGCAGGTGCGGTGCTAGACCCAGCCTGGCAGACGCTCTGGTGGCCTGGCCCTAGGAAGCGTCCTAGCAGCCAGGGCCTCCTCCAAGTACCAGCACCCACCCGAGGCTGCCGCTCCCGCAGCCTTTAAGCAAACTTACCTCGTTAATGATGATCCTGCTGGCCATCCGCAGTCGGGTCCTGGGCCCAAACTTATTGGTGATCATTATGCGCAAGCCCGCCTCCGGGAAGCTGAACTTGGGGGGGCTGGAGCTCATGACCTCGTCCACCATCACCACTGGGTTTTTGCTGTACTGTGGCTCCTCTTTCACTGTATTGAGCACAAGGCCATGATTAATACTGAGGTCCCCCTGGGGACAACACCTAAGTGCTGGGCAGCTGACTGTCTCTCTGTTGTGACAGCTGGCAGCCACCTGGGAGCCTCACTTCAGCTCCTCCCACTAGTCAAGTGGCCACTGGCTCTGAGCTACCTGCAACCTTGAGGACTTCAGGGACAGCCCCGTGGTCCCTGATGATAGGCCCACTCCCGGGCAGCCCCTCCACATCTAGCTCCCCTGCCGAACGATGGCCCCTCTCTTCTGGGGCCCAGTCTTGACCAACTGCAAGGGTCTGTCAGTTCCTCATCTGAGCCTCACTGGGGCTGTGGAGGGACCTTGCTTTCTCCTGATTACAGAGGCTCCAAAGGCCCCTGGAATGGAATATTCTGGAAAGCATCCGAGAGTACTGGCTCTAAACTTCTCATAGCCACCTGCTCTGTCTTTGAGGGACCATCTCCACTAGCGCAGAGCATGCTTCTAACTTTGCTGCCCTTGAGGCGAGCAGTGAGGGCAAAGATGGAGCACAGGCCCCGGACCAGGCAACTGAGACCAGGAGGGGAGCCTGCCTGCTGAGGTCCCCTGGGAGCTGCTGGCCGAGCCCAGTGTTTCTGTTAAACCTATCACCCTCCAGCAGGGAGGCTGGGCTGGTGTCTCTGACCCTATGCCTCCCCTCATGAGGCTGAAGAACGAATTTCCCCAGGTCTTAGACCTCTCCCCATCACCTTCCTGAACACACTCAGGGCTGGAGTCCTAGGGGACTTGACATCTAACTCCAGAGCCCTGGAGGGCCCTAGCGACAGGACCACTCAGGAACACAGCACACAGAAGCAGGTGGCTTCCCCTCCGAGCAGGTGTCAAAGCAGATATGCCCGCCCCTCTGCAAGGGTCACCAGCCCTTGGTGCCTGTCCTTCCCAGGTAATGGGGTAACCAGCAGTGTCCTTCCCAGGTAGTAGGGTAACCAGGAGTAGTCAGGGCAAACCCATGCGAGAGTTAATGGCACAGACAGGAACAAATGCACAGCAGACACACCCCCTCACCCGACAGGCAGCGAGGCTCAGCAGACAGGAGGCGTGTGGGTTAGGAACAGAGCCGGAGGACCATGCATTTGTGGGAGGCAGACACTGACCTCCGACGAGGCGTGCGCTGGGCTTGTGGATTATTTTTCAGGGCATGTGTTATCGCTTGGGTGAAAGCAGGTTACTTACAATTTAGAAGAGGAGAAGAGTTAAGGAGACAAAGGCCGACAGAGGCTGCCAGAGATGATTAGCGTGCGGTGGATGCCGAGTCTGGGCAGCATTCTTGATGGTGGCCAAGGGGCCGGGGTTATTTGAAAGGGGTGTTAGTAAAGGGGCCACTGCTATGGGCACTTCAATGCTTGGAGCCTTTGGCCTTTGGGATGATGGTTCCTCTCCTGGCTGAACTGCATGGCTCCATCCCACTAGGAGGAGCAGGAGCCCCTGTGCCCACCACCCCTCCGTGCTGCAGGAAAGCCCGTATCCCTCCCTACTCTGGACCTTCCATCTATGGCAGAGGGAGGCGGAAGCCAGCAGAACCTCTGCAGGCTCATCCAGACCACAGGAGCAGCCTGTCCAGGCACTGCCTGCGGCAACAGCTGGGCTCAGAATGAGGGAGCCTACGGAGTGTCAGCCTTCAAGGCAAGATACGTGACACCTGGTGCCTGGGTACCTTGTCTTGGTGCCGCCCGCCAAGTGGCAGCACAGGTGGTGCTTCCAAGCCACGACTAACAATTACAGAGTGGTTCCTGGCAGTTCAGCCCGAAGCCAGGCATTGCCTCCTCCTTCCCTGCTCCAAGCAAAAGCAGAGTCCAGGGCCAGGGCAGCCCAGGAGGGTCCCACAGTGAGCCCAGCTAGCAGTCAAGGTGGCCCTGGCTGCACAAGGCCACCTGAGACCAGTGAGGACAGGCTGGACTCCCAGCAGGGGTGGGAAACAGGGCCCCTCCCGCCTCAGTCCCAGGGCCTTTCCTTGCTGTACTGTGCTCTGCTTCCTTAAGCAGCACTGAAATGTGAAAAATCTGTACAAGTTTTAGAAAACTCAGGGCCCTTGGAATGGGCCTTCTCCCTCAGCCACATGGGCAGTAGGTAGCTCTCAGGGCGGGAACCCAAGGAAGAGGGCATTTTCCGCTGGCCTGAGCTGACTCACCACTTGGAATGTCTCTCCTTTGCCATAAAGGTCCAGAGGCCCCAGGAACACTATGTACAGGAAAGGACTCAGCCTGGCCTGAGGGACTGTGTGAGGACCTCATAGCTGCTGACTATGGAGCTAAAATCCAGAACAGCAGCCCCATCGTCCCCTCCCCTTCTGAGGAGGTTGTCCTGGAAACGCCTCTCCCCTGGGGCACTGAAGAACCAGGACTGGGCAGGCACCAGGCTCTGCAGGCTGCTTTTCTTTGTCTCTCACAGGTGGATCTCCAGCACCTAGGCTGTGGCCTTGGCCACACCTGTGCCCCCAGCCCAGCAGCCTTGCTCCTTCCATCTGGAGAGAGTCATCCCTTGAGACCTGAGACAGGACACGACACACTTGTCTAAAGTGCACACGGGAGGCAGCTCCCAGCCTGATCTCCCCCAGGGGGAAGCTCGGGGAGGGGTCACAGAGTATAGATTTTGGCCCCACGTGCCAGACACAGGCAAACAGGCTGCTCTGAGAGCACCTGGTCCACCACTGACAAAGGAATTAGAGTCGCCTGAAAGAGGGCTGACTTGCCCAGGGCCATGGGGAACAAGGGGAATAGCCCTCAGGTGGCCAGGCCCCGCCTCTCAGCTCTACCAGCACCGGTGGGACTCGGGTGTGGCTTGAGCCCCGCTTTTACGCATCCTCAGTACAGGACCCCATTCAGGCCTGAACGCTGGCCTTGGGTGCGGAAGACAGTGAATCTTACCACCTGGCAGCCGCCCCGCAGAGGGATCACCTGGTAACCGGCTGGGTTAAGACAGGCTTTTAAAGTGGCAAGTGGTCAGGCAAAGTCAATTAGGAGTATTTGACAAGAGATGACAAGGGCTGGCTCCAGAGGCCCAGAACCGCCAAATAAAGGGACCAAAGAGAAGCCGAGGAGACTGGGCTGCAGCCCCGGGGGCAGGGCTCCCGGGCAGGTCTGGGAATTCTGCTCAGCTCTGTGCCCGCCTTTCCTGGCCTTGCTGTTCCTCTAGGCAGTGAGCAGAGGTCTCTCCAGGACAGGGCCTGGCATCTGAGAAACCACAGGGGGACCCAGGCCTTCTCTGTCACCCCAAGTCCTCGTTTTCCTGTCACTGGCCCTCTGCATGGGATAGAGGTGTGATTCGCTGCATCTCAGGAAAGCCAAGCGGGCCCTGAATCTTCCTTAAGCAGCCCAGGGAACTCCCCAGGGATGCAAGTGCTGACATCTTCTCCACCTAAGCAAACGCCAACCTGAGCAACATCTCCAACACTGACTCCCTCCTCATCTAGGGTCCTGTGGCCGAAGGGAAGAGAGTGACAATTTAGAGGGAGATTGTGCGCGGGAAAGAGAAGGGGACAGCGGTTTAGCGACATGGTTCGGCCACTCCTGTCTGCTCAGCCTTACCTGGCCCCAGCAATGGCATGGAAGGGTCATCAGAGCTACTACCACAGTAATCATTACCATCCTCCAGCTCGCTGCTGACCGTGTTGCCATTCGCAACGGTCTTTTGTTTGATCGTGAAAAAGGCCTGTATCTTCACGTTGTACCTGGAAGTTAAGGCAGCAGGTCAGGGCTGTGGGACACCTGGCAGGGTGGAGTGCTAGGGCCCCCCTCCCCCTGCACACACAATCAGGTGGCCCTGGGAGTGTCCCACGGTGAGGGACCTGGGGAGCCAAAGCTTTTCAACCGAGTCGACAGAATTCCTAACAGGAATGGGAGAGCCATGTGCAGTCTGACGGCCCTGCGCCTACTGACATGTTCGTGGGATTCCTGGGGGCACAAAAGGCCTTCAGCCCTAGACAGGGACTGACCCCTACTTACTGCAGGTCCCAAGCCTGCCCTGATAAAGTTCAGCTCAGCCTCGGGAACAGGCTTGAAGGAAGGGTGACTGGGCCTGTCCTCTCTCCCATGGCTGAATCTTTGGGTCTTTTCTGTGTCACAGCCAGCGTCGCCCCACAGAGAAGAGACTCTCTCCATCCCAGACCCCAGCTGCCCACCTCGCTGAAGGGCACTCAGAGAGGACATATCTGAGGGACAATTCTCCTGCAGGCTGACAGTTTATCACCCATTTTGATAAAACATCATGATTCATAGCCTCATGAAACCCAGTACTGGTTTTCTTTCTAATCACCTGCAGAGGTACAAACAAGAAGGTAAAGCCTGGGTATGGCTCACCTCATGGATAGTGTTTCAGTTTCCTTTTCTGTTTTTTTTTTATGTGGAAAAACATATACAACATAAAATTCGCTATTTTAATTATTTTCCATTTTGAGGCACACAATTCAGTGGCATTAATTACGTTTACAGTGGGAAACCATCACCACTATCTATGTCCAAAGCTTTTTCAGCATCCCAAACAGAACTCTGCAACCACTGGTCAGTTAACGATTAATCACTCCCTCCTCCAAGCTCCCGGTAATCTCCCATTTGCTTTCCGTCGCTATGAATTTGACTCTCCTAGATACTTCATGCAAATAGACTCAGATAGTATTTGTCCTTTTGTGACTGGCTTATTTCACTGAGCATACTGTTTGCAAGGTTCATCCATGTTGTAGCATGTGACAGAATTCCCTTCCTTTTTAATGGCTGAGTAATATTCCTCCTGGGCAGTTTTGAGATGATTCTGACCTGGGCAGCTTCCAGGGGGCCACAAGGGTTCACAGCCCTGGACCCTATGTCTGCATCTTCAATACTATGAGTGGTACCCCTGCAGTTTCACAAGGCAGTGGCCCTGAGAGGTGACATTTTACGAAGCTTGGAGCAGAAGTGAGGCCGCCTGGCTCTTTCAGAAAGGGTGGTATTATATTATCAGATTCGTAGAGAGAGCAAAGAGGAGTGGTCACCCTGGGGCATGGAGAGGCGTGAGGTGGGTGGGAGGGAGGCCCCTGCTTGCTACTTGTTTTGAGAGTGGCCTCGTTCTCCACCCAGCAGCCCTAACTCTCATGGCCAGGTGTGGACAGTCCCCCCAAACAGTGTCTGAACATCTCTCCCCCCCTCCAGCCGTCCCAGTGGGGTGTCCCCCAGAGAACTGGGGCTGGTGAGAGTGACTGAAAGGTCGGACGGAGGTTTGCTCGCTGCTCTAACTGGAGGCTAGAGCGAGATCTGAATCAAGGCGACAGGCAGCCAGAAGAAGGGAAAGGGCACTTACTTCATGATGAGAATGTAAAACACGTACAGGATGATGAGGACCAGGCCTTCCCACCTCGGAGAGAGAAAGCGGCTGTGGTTAGAGCGAGGAAGGGCCGTGCTGAAGGCCAGGCTGACCCGTGCAGAGGGTAAAGCAGGGGGGCCTTCCCCGGCCCCGGCGTCTGGCCCAGGACCCAGGGCCTAGGCATGCCGGTGAGCGTCCCAGCCCGGCTGCCCCTCAAACTAAAGCTGTCTTAGTGACAGAGAGAAGGCTGAGAGTGGGGTCTTCTCAACCACAGGGGGTCTGCAGGGCTCAGGCGGAGTCCCTCAGCTACCTAGCAAAAGGGGAGGCCAGGGCCACCACGTCCCAGGATTCAGGCAGCAGTGGCCTGGAGTCACCTAGACTTGGCATTAGGAGGCCCTATGATCACCTGAGATTCTGTTCAAGGAGCAGAGAAGCTGGGGTGCAGGGGGAAAGGGGCCCTAAGAGCTGCCTGAAAGAGGGGCATACACAGTCTCGCATGCACAGTGCCCAACTCCACGCGTGGTGGGATTTTTATAGTTCTGACCACCAGCCTCCGAGGAGCCACACAGCTTTGGTTGGTTTGTTCATCTGACGAATGTGTACTAAAGGCCTACTATGTGCCCGGCATGGGCTACAGTTGTTTTGGGAGCTCTTCCTTGGCTAACAAGAGAACAAGGACCAGCAGAGCCCCAAAGGGAGTTGTAGGTGACCTGACCCTCACTCCCAACTGCATCCATAGCTGAGGCAAAGGAGACCTGGGAGTGGGGAGGCTGCCTGGCTCATAGGGCGGGTTAGGGCCAGGCTGGGGCCAGAATCAGTTTCTCTGGGCTCACAGCACGCAGCCACTCACATCGGGCCTCGTGAGTACATCCCCACAATTAATCACATGCAGGATGCAGATTCTGATTCACTGTCCTGCAGGAGACATTTTAATGGCTTATATGAATGTGAGACACAGTCACATGCTATAGAATAAAAACATCGACCTTTTATTTCAAGTGGCTCTGCATGCATCTTAATTAAGGAATCATTTCCGACCTCAGTGTCATGAAGATGAGACCCTGTGTTTTAGTCGATGCTATTTCAGTTTTGCTTTGTACGGTGAGATTTTTCGCTCACCTGGAATTTATTCTTGTATAAGGTGCGAGGGGTAGACCTAATGTTATCTTGCTCTGTATGGATTCTTAGTGGTCCCAGCAGAATCTAAGACCCCCCACTCCCTAACTTACTGCCTTGTTGCGATACCTGCCATCTCCCCCAGCCCAGAAATGGGCCCATTACTGGGTCCTCGGTTCCATGTTCCATATTGGCCTTGCTTAGCCCTGTGCAAAATACCACGCTTTGCTGATTATTGTAGCTCTATAATATGGTTCGATATCTGGCAGGGTGGGAATATTAATGGGAACAATTTCTGTCACCTTGAAAGGACAAATAAAGGCATGATTGCTTAGAATGATATAATTTTTACTTTTACAAGTTCATACGCTTATGTTTGTAAAAATAATTTTAAAGAGGATTCTGTGAACCCAATAAGCAAGGACACTAACAAAAACAAATGAGAAACAAACTTAAAAAACTTACCATACAATTTCTTCATCATATATGAACTGAAAGGCAAAAGAAACAAAGGGTGGGGGGACATATTTATTGAAAAAAACAAAAACAAACACAGACCTCTAAGCACCCAGAGCTGCCCCAGCTTGGCTTGCTATGTTTCTACAGAAAGCTGGGCTACTCTCTCCAGTTCTGGGTTCCTTGACTGCAGAAGGTGACCTTGCCTTAGTTGAAACCTAGGCCAGCAGATGCGGCAACCTACAGCCCAGCAGAGCGTGGGCCTCTCAGAGAAATGGCCTGCTGGGGCCAACCTGGCAGGGGCCTGCCCTCATTAACTGAACAGAATTGTGACAATCAAGAATCTTAAAAACTGAAAAGATATCCATCCATCCATCCATCCACCCACCCACCTACTTACCTATCTGCCTGCTTATTTACCTATCAGTCTACCTACCTACCTACAGTGCCTGTGTGTTATTTTCTTAAAAATAAAGAGTAATCCCTTTCGAACTTCTGGGGGTGAAAGACCCACTTGTACCAGCTGAAGGGAAGCCAGGGGCAATGGTGGGACTCCACCGTTTCCTAATCAGGCACTGATATTGCCCAAAAACCCCACCCTGCATCTTTGACATGTGGTCCAGGAGAGGACTCCTGTGAGCACCCCAGACAAGCCCAATGTGGAACAGGTAGGTGGAGAGGCTGTGCCCACCAATCTGATCCTGGAGACACACAGGTGCCCACAAGGGATGCCAGCAGAGGCCAGGGGGCTTCTGTTTGAGCTTGGGCCCATTGCACCCTGCTCCTGGCTGTCATGGCAGGCAGTACACACAGGAACTGAGAGGGTTGTCCTGGCTGGGCATCACTGGGAGGTTCCCTAAACTCAAGGCTCTGAGGAAGTGGCACACAACCTGGGGAACTTTCGGGACATTTATGGAGCTATTTTTAGTTTTTATAACCCAATGGAGGTACACTGGCATTCAGAGGCAGTGAAAGCCTGGGCTGCTAGCCAGCCTAGAACACGTGAAGCAGTTCTATCTGGGAAGTTTTTCTACATTTGGCACAAGTGCTAAGCGTTCTGCTAAATATTCAGGTAAGCGACAAAAATAAATAAATAACCTGAGCCTGGAACTTAACTCTGTTTCACAAATCAAAGTATTTTTGCATGGTTTTAGTAAATACTTCATTTTCTAGTGAGGTAACTATCGTGCAAATGGGGTTGGTGGAGGACTGTACTTGGCTCTGTTAGGATTTTATCAGGAGTTGTTCATAATTTTGGAAAATCACATCAGCAATGTCGCACCACTCAGGAGTTTACGGTGCCAGCCCAGCACACTGGCCTAGGTCTGAAACTCAGGGATTTTCCATATGGAAGCAACAGATTACATCACCGGATGTTCTAACATCTTCATACCAAAACCCTGACACACTAAAAGATGTATTCTTTTGTTATAAATTACTTTTACCTGTCCTTTACAGTAGAGTTTAGGTGTTAAAGTTTCAGAAATATATATATATATATTTGAGAGAGGGAGGGAGAGGGAGAGGGAGAGAGAGACATCGACTGGCTGCCTCCCATAGACACCCTGACCCGGGATCAAACCTACAAGCTGGGTATGTGCACTGACCGGGAATCGAACCGTCGACCCTTTGGTGCACAGGATGATACCCAACCAACTAAGCCACACCAGCCAAGGCTGTTTTTTGTTTTTTTAAAATTATGATTAGGTGAATTATTTTATCTGGAGCTGTCATTTTCGATTTTCCGAGATGTGAGAGGCAGCCTCTCAGATGGCCCCAACGATCCCACCACCTATCATTCATACCCGCCTTGTGTATGTGGCCTGGACCTAGGGACTTGCTCCAAACAAACAGGATATGGCAAAAGTGATGGGCGGTCACGTTGGAGATTAGGTCACAAACACTGTGGCTTCCACCTTGGCTCCTCTCTCCCTTGCTCTGAGGGAAGCCAGTGGCCATGTCATGAGCTGCACCAGCGAGGAAAGACCTGGGGCTGCTCAGAGCAACTGGACCCTGAAAGTGGATGCCTCTCCCCACCCTGGGGTGGGGGGGGGAGCCCTGAGGTAACTATATCCCGGGCAACACCTGGGAGAGAGCCAGAGCTGGAGGACTCCTGTCCAGATTTTAATACATAGAAAAGGGGGTAACAAACGCTGGTTGTTTTAAGCCACTGAGTTTTGGGGAAACTTCATACACAGTGATAGACAACTAATAGAAAGGATATGACTGCCATACACAGTTGGCGTTAGGGCTTTAAGGCTGAGGCCTGTCACTCTAGGGCACATGCCCTAACATCTGGGCACAATCTGCCCTCCTGAACAGGACCTGCCCCTTAAAGCTACCTTTGGATTGAAGCCGTTTCCCTGTGGGTGACACGGTCCTTGGCAGTAGCCTGACTGTCGCGTGCTTTGCTGTCATGTGCCATGATGTCACCCTAGCCCTTGGTGGGGGGCACAGGGATACCCTCCTGCACACACTAGCAAGCCCCAGGAATCTGTTTTCTCTCCTCTGCCTTCCTCTCCACCCCTGCCCCAGCTGCCAGCTCTGACGGCTGCCAGCTGCCTCTTTTCTGCTCTGCAGCGAGCTGTGAACCCGGGGCTCCGCTCCTTAGAAAATGGCTCTATGCGAGGATCCGAAGGGCCCTGAGGAGCACGTGCTTGAGGGAAACTGCACAGCCCATGCCACATGTGCTGTGGTTTTGATGCCCTTTTCACCAAGGTGTCAGGTATGAGATTTGGGGCAAAGGGAGGCACAGTGGCAAGGGGACTGGTCAGAGTGACAGCAGTGAGCGGTCAGCCCACCCCACGGCTGGGGGCTGGGGGTTCTCTGGCTATAGGGCCAGGGACAAAAAACGGGCAGGGTCCTGTGACTTCAGGGGGGAGGGGAACTCACGGCAATGAGCACGATGACGGACAGGGTGTAATACACGGAGTCCCGGCACACGGCCCACCACGTCAGCCGGACCACCTGCGAGCAAGGGGCTGTCAGCTGCCTTTGGCGGGGGAGGGGGG